ATAACCTGCTCAGTGAAGCCCAGTTTGCGTTCCACCAGGGTCACTCAGTTCCTGACCTCATTACAGCCTTGGTTCAAACATGGACAAAAGAACTAAATTCCAGAGGTGAGATGAGAGTGACAGCCCTTGACATCACGGCTGCATTCAACCAAATGTGGCTTCAAGGAGCCCTAGCAAAAGTGGAATCAATGGTTATCAGGGGCAAACTCTCTGGTGGTTAGAGTCATACCTGACACATTGGAAGATGGTCATGGTTGCTGGAGGTCAGCCATCTCAGCTCCAGGGCATCTCTGCAGGTGTTCCTCAGGGTAGTGTCCTAGGCCCAACCATCTTCAGCTGCTTCATCAATGACCTTCCCTCCATCATAAGGTCAGAACTAGGGATGTTCACTGATAATTGCACAGTGTTCAGCACCATTCGTGACTCCTCAGATACTGAAGCAGTCCATGTTCAAATGCAACAAGATCTGGACAATAAAAACCAAAAGAACTGCGGATGCTGTAAATCAGGAGCAAACCCTTCTGAGGAAGGATCACCAGACCCGAAACGTTAACTCTGTTTTCTCCTCCACAGATGCTGCCAGACCTGCTGAGCTTTCCAGCAACTTTGTTTTTGTTCAAGATCTAGACAATATCCAGGCTTGGGCTGACAAATGGCAAGTAACATTCGGGCCACACAAATGTCAGGTTATGACCATCAAGAATAACAGACAATCTAACCACCATCCCTTGACATGCAATGGTACTACCATCACTGAATCCCTCACTATCAACATCCTGGAGCTCATCATTGACCAGAAACTCAACTGGACTCACCACATAAACACAGTGGCTACAAGATCAGGTCAGAAGCTAGAAATACTGTGGCGAGTAACTCACCTCCTGACTCCTCAAAGCCTGTCCCCGATCTGCAAAGCACAAGTCAGGAGTATGATGGAATACTCCCCACTTGCCTGTATGAGTGCAAACCGAACAACACTCGAGAAGCTTGACACCATCCTGGACAAATCAGCCGGCTTGATTGGCACTACATCCAACAAGCATCCACTCCCTCAACCACCGATGCTCAGTAGCAACAGTGTGTACTATGTACAAGATGCACTGCAGAAATTCACCAAAGATTCTTCAGACAGAACCTTCCAAACCCACGACCACTTCCATCTGGAAGGACAAGGGCAGCAGATATATGGAAACACCACCACCTCCAAGTTCCCCTCCAAGCCACTCACCATCCTGACTTGGAAATATATTGCCATTCCTTCACTGTCGCTGGGTCAAAATCCTGGAATTCCCTCCCTAATGGTATTGTGGGTCAACCCAGAGCGGGAAGACTGCAGCAGTTCAAAAAGGTAGCGCATTACCACCTTCTCAATGGCAACTAGAGATGGGCAACAAATGCTGGCCAGCCAGCGATGCCCATATTCCACAAATGAATAGAGAATAAAAAACTTCTCTCCTAAATGGGCTGACCCCAATTTTTAGACTATGCACCTAGTTCTAGGATCTGCAACCAGTGGAAATTGTTTATCTTTATCTAACCTGTCTTTTCCTATTGATATCTTGAAACTTCAATCAGATCATCCTTTAGCCTTCTAAGTTGTAGAAAAAACAGGTCTAATTTGTATAATCTCTCCTCATAATTTAACCCCTAAGTCCAGATATCAAGCAGAAGTAGGATATTTGGCCTATGAATTCTACTCCAAGATTCAATGAGATCATGGATGATCTGATAACCTTCAGGTCCACTCTGCACTGAGTTCCAACAATAAGCATATGTTTTCGTGGCACTTTCCAATTCCAAGGTTTCTGAGCACTCTCTTGTATATTAGACTGTCACAGCCAACTCAGGCATGAAATCACTACAAACACAATGTTGTCTTCACGAGGGGCATTCTGGGTGAGTTCGGAGATCTGTGTAGAATATATCTTTGTCAGCTGGGTTAGCCCTCAGGGTTGGAGCAGAAATACTGCTGAGAGTTGTAGCTGCTGGTCTTGAAGGGATAGGTGCAGGGATATGTTGTGTTTAGAATGGTCAACTGGTAGGCTTGAAGGTCTAGCAGTGATATTCTTCTTCAGCATGAAGCCATCACTGAGGAGGCATTGGTCAATTTCAGAGATCTTTCTTTCCTTGCTGTTTTATTCATCACTGGTAAACCAGCTGTCGATACAGTGTGGAGCTGGAGGAACACAGCAGGTCAGGCAGATTCAGTGGAGTAGGAGAGTTGATGTTTTGGGCCTAGACAAACAACAAAGAAAATTATAGAACAGGAACAGGCCCTTCGGCCCTCCGAGCCTACGCCGATCCACATCCTCTATCTAAACCTGTTGCCTATTTTCCAAGGATCTGTATCCCTCTGCTCCCTGCCCATTCATGTATCTGTCTAGATACATCTTAAATGACGCTATCGTGCCCGCCTCTACCACCTCCGCTGGCAACGCATTCCAGGCACCCATCACCCTCTGCGTAAAGAATTTTCCACGCATATCTCCCTTAAACTTTTCCCCTTTCACCTTGAAATCATGACCCCTAGTAATTAAGTCCCCCTCTCTGGGAAAAAGCTTCTTGCTATCCACCTTGTCTATACCTCTCATGATTTTGTAGACCTCAATCAGGTCCCCCCTCAACCTTCATCTTTCTAATGTAAATAATCCTAATCTACTCAACCTCTCTTCATAGCTAGCGCCCTCCATACCAGGCAACATCCTGGTGAACCTCCTCTGCACCCTCTCCAAAGCATCCACATCCTTTTGGTAATGTGGCGACCAGAACTGTACGCAATATTCCAAATGGGGTCGAACCAAAGTCCTATACAACTGTAACATGACCTGCCAACTCTTGTACTCAAATCAGGACTGGTGAAGAGTCTAGGCCCGAAACTTCATCTCTCCTGCTCCTCTGATGCTGCCTGACCTGCTGTGTTTCTACAGCTCCACGCTGTATCGACTCTGACTCCAGCATCTGCAGTTCCTGCTATCTCCTGGTAAACCAACAACATGCAATACACCATCTGACATTGCTGTTGAATTATCTATTTCCTCTTACTCTTCCATATGTATTTGGCAACCAAGTTCTTCCAATTCTTTGTGACCTGTAAATTCTCATCCTGTTCTTTTTCACTTCCATGCCTATCACTACTCAATTATGCAATCTCTAAATAGTATATCATTTATTCCTAGCTGCAACACTTCCCAATTCAGCTGGGAAAGAAATACATTTACCTGTACTTTTTATTAATTCTTATTCCCATTTTACTCCAACGAGATACCACTTTTTTGGCTAAGATCTTGAATATCTTCCTTTCCTCAAAGAAATCTTTCTGAATTCTTAACAGAACATATGTCTCATTACAATTTGCAGGTATTGGGACAGGATATGACTAACTGTCACAGAAAAAGCAAAACTTCTAGTCCAGAACATGACAATTATTGAAGCCACTTGAAATGCTTTTTTTGTTTTGTCATTGTCAAGCAATGTATCCATCCACATTTTGTCTATGAGGGTGTGGCACTTGGAGCCTGCAGTGAGGGTGGGGTCTCGATGAGGACAATGACTCCAGGCCATCCTCCAGGCAGGATGCAGTTGACTGAAAATAAAGAAGTACTCCTCTATGTCAACACCCACACGCCAACCTGAATACTTATTACTGACAGATATAGTTGAAAATATTTAACTGCTCTGACAGGGAGAGAGAAAAACAGAATTAACATTTTCAGGTTGATTATCTTACATTGTTTCTCTGTCCACAGATGCTATCTGATCTATTGAGTATTTGCAAAATTTTTTTGTTTTTATTTCAGATTTCTATCCTCTAGAATATTTTGAGTTGCTGCACAGTCATTAATTTGTTTTATGGCTACAAAGTAAATTATTCTCTTTGACAAATTTTGTAGGTTTTCTTGTGAAGTTGCATCTTTCAGCTACTCTGATATGGTCATTGGATAAAATCACTACCTGGTGCAGCGCTATGGTCTGCAAGACAACTACCTCAAGCTTATGCAAAATTAGGTGATCTCTGACAGGGCAGAAGTTTGCGATGTCACAGTTATCAAAGAAAAAAGTCAGTGTCTTGGATCACAGCGTGTATCCAAGTGGTTCTTTTCAGATTCAGATATATATAATTAAGAGAAGGCTCGACAACAGTAGTTTGCTTAAATATGAATGTTTATTATGTAATAATAATGATTATAGTGGTAATAATAAATGGAAGAGAAAAGAGAAAAAGCAACAAGTCTCACGCCCTCCTGCCCGTCAGGGGCCCCTCGATTAATGGCTGGTCTGGAAGCTTGGCCTAGCAGGGGAATGTAGCTACATCTTATACCCCAGACCGGCAGATTCAGAGGAGTAGGAGAGTTGACATTTTGGGCCTCTTCTATGGGGTCATCCTCTGTGGGTGTGAGGGTGGTCTGTTACCCTATTGATCGCTATGGTTGATTCGGCTGATCTGCCTGGCTAGGCAGGTGTCCCTCTTCCCTCACAGCTCCATGTGCATCCCCCTCAAAGCTCAGCACCCGATCGCAGAGAATGACCCGCGAGGAGAGGACCTGTCCACCGGTCTAGGGTATATGACATAGCTAAACTCCCCTGCTAGGCCAAGCCTCCAGACCAGCCATTGATCAAAGGGATTTCTCTCCACAGATGCTGTCAGACCTGCTGAGCTTTTCCAGCCACTTCTGTTTTTATATCTCATCATAATTGCAGGGATTGGGACAGAATATGTCTAACTGTCATAAAAAAACTAAGATGCTGGAGAAACCCAGCAGGTATAGTAGCATTTTTGAAGTGATAAACAAAGTACTGATGAAGGGTCATCGGGCTTGAACATTTACTCTGTTTTCCTCTCCACAGATTTTGCCAAGAACAGATGAGTTTCTCCAGCATTTTCTGTCTTTGTTTCAGAGTTGCAGCATCTACAGTTCTTTGCTTTATTTTATGTCAAACTGTAATTGTGTTTAATCATTTCATGATGTAATTTTGTTCTTTTATTTTTAAATTTTACACAGCTTGTTTCTCCTAGGATTTAACTACAACTGTTCAGATGGGGTGCAGATGCTGTAGAATGATAAGAAGGTGAGAAAAGTTTTAGATTCAACATATTTAAGATGACGTTAAATGACTTTGCTGGCTCAGGCTGCACAAAATCCTAACATTCTTTCTTGACAGGCCCGAACTCAAACCCCAAATGCTATCCATCATGACTATTTTCTATGCCACAATATCATCCAATGCTTTAGTGTCATTTTCTATCCCATGAAAAGCCCTTGTTATGTTATCTATCATTACCAAAACCATAGCGCCTGTATATCTCCGCCGGAAAACAGCAGAAAAGGACTCATTATGTTGAAGGTAGTCAAGTCAGGGGGCTCCTTCACCAAAGGCACAACAGAGGCAATAGATCTGACTGCTCAGGTTGCAGATGTCTTTGGGATTGACTGTTTGACACTCCTTCCCAGCATTCCCACTTTCTAGAATCCCAAACTAACATTGATAGAAAAGCCATCACCGATTTTGAAGAACATTCCCCCAAGAAACTTTATCTTCCTTTACGAGTCTCCAGAAAGCTGATGTTTTCAATTAAGACTTCACTGAGTTTGGATGGAACTACTCTGCCTGATTTCAGGTGACATTCATACAATTCTACATTGTGCAACATTTTCTGTTCATTAGTGTTTCTTTGCACAGACTTGTGCTTCAGTGCATTCACAGGGGCTGTTATAACACGCCAACATAAATTGCACATCACCCTGCTCACCAGTTGTTACTGTTGTGAAGTTAAGTAGAGTACTTATGAATTAGAAGGCAGAATGTTAGAATTTGTTTGCAAAAATAATAAGGTGGAATAGGGCATGGTCCCTTTAAGAGGTTATGTGCTTTTCTAGGCTTGGAGATAAAATCAAGTCTGCAAACAGCTGCAGATGCTCTGTAGTTGAAACATATGTGTCAATTGGCTGTGTGGTTGGCAAACTAGGCTTGTTTTGATGTTAAGGCAACCAGCTTGAATATCAGTCACTTAAGTTAAACCAGGCCCTAGATACCAAAACCCAATTAAATTTAACTCCAACGGTGTTGACAACCTAGGACCAATCCTATTATAAGAAAATTGACTGGTCATCAAGGGAATATAAGAAGAGGGTTTTTGAAAATCAGTGAGACCGTGAACTGCCATTGGAAGAGTAAAACTCCGGCTCCCACAGAAATGCTTAAGCTTTCTGATTAAGCACCATCTAAAAGGTATCACAGCACGTTTAGCCCATATTTCTGTCACAAGGATTCGATGAAGAAAGAATTCCTGACTGAAGAATAGCAGTAAAAGCACGGAACATTCCAGAAGATGCATCCTGACTGTAGTTTTGAGAGCCTAAGTGTTATTTTATTTTCCTTATTACTTTGGTTTATATAAGTGGGATTTATATCTATTGGAACTGCATGCCACTAGAATTTTGTTCTGTTCGGGAATAGTTAGTAGGTAAGGGGGAATTGTTCCTTTTGTCAGCAGTTCTGTTAATTTGTTCACTGTTAGAGTTAGACAAATAAACTGTTATTTGTTGCTTATAAAGTGAGTATCAAGGATTTCCTTCAGATTGGGAGGTGAAAGGCAGGTTATACCATTTTTCCTATTTCCTTTAGCAGATTATAGGTGAGGCTTCTCTGGGTGTTTTGGTTTTAATTATTAGAGAGGTTCAACCTCCTCACCAAAACATGTTGGGGGCTCGTCCAGGATCTGAACAGATTTGGGGTACAAAAGTTCCCAGCAGATTTAACCAGACTTGGGGGATTAGTGTCCTAGATCTTTACATAAAACTCAGGTGAATAGTGGAAAATCTGTTTAATTTCAGTTACTTGTAGTTGGTTAAATCAAAAGTTGGGGAAATGTGTCTTAACATTGCTAAAGAGGTTTTGGGGTTTGAGGATGCTTCCCAAATTTCTCAAGAAAGTTTAGAAGAGCAGAGGAAGGATACACTTTTAGACTCAGCAAATGGGCTAAATTTGGGTTTAACTAGGGATAAGAGGATTGCTGAAATTGTAACCGAGTTAGCCAAGCATTTAGGTATACCAGAGAAACAGTCAAGTGCAGCGGAGTTAGAAAAAATTAAATTGCAAATGAGACAACTGGAGTTAGAGAATGAAAGGAAGGAGAGAGAGTTTGACTTACTTTTAAAAGCAGAAGAGAAAGAAAGGGAAAGAAGATTCCTAGCTAAGAGAGATGAAAGGGAACAAATGATCGAATTGGCAAAGATAAAGTTGGAACTTTAAACAAAAAGACTTTAAATGACAGAGGTAAACGTACAAGATAGAAGTGATGATGAGCAAACTCATTGTGGCCAACAGCCTGGTTGGGATATTTACAATGCCCAAACATTACCAAAATTTGATGAAAAAGATGTAGAAGCCTTTTTCACTTCCTTTGAGAAATTGACTAAACAGATGAACAAAGGATATGTGGGTAATGTTAGTTGAGACCAAATTGGTGGGCAGGGCTAGTGAGGTGTTTGCAGCACTGTCAGAGGAGGTGTCAAGAGAATGTGAAGGAGTAAAACAGACTACTTTGAGTGCCGAAAAATTGGTACCAGAAGCATTTAGACAATGGTTCAGAAATGCAAGGAAGGAACCAGGTCAGACTTCTATCAAGTTTGAAAGAATCAAACAGAGCAATTTCAATAGATGGGTGAGAGCATTAAAGATAGAAAAAAACATATGTCAATCTGAGAGAGATTATTCTGTTGGAGGAGTTCTAAAACTCACATCCAGAGATGATAAAAACTCATGTTGAGGAACAAAAAGTTACCAAAGTAAGAAGAGCTGCAGAGATGGCAGGTGAATACACATTAGTGCTTAAATCGAAATCTAGCTTCCGACAGCAATTTCATTCTGTGAGGGATAGAAATTGGGAAAGACGGAGATCCTTCAATGAAAAATAAAAAGTAGATCACACTGCGAACAGTTTACCACGTGTGAAAAAAGAAACCCAAGAGGGTGAAAAAGAGATGAAAGATCTCAGGTGTTTCCACTGTAAGAGAGGGGGACACACAAAGTCACAGTGCTGGTGGTTTAAGAGAGGCACTAGGAAAAAGGATGTGGTAAAAGAGGCTAAACCAGTGAGATTAGTTGAGGTAGTGAAGGAAATCCCAAGAGAAGCTGAGGAGCTGCACGAGAGTGCACAGTCCATTCATGGGCTGGATAGTTAGATAGCACCTGATCTCTTCAAAGACTTCACCTGTGTTGGTAAGGTTTACTCAGGAAGAAGAAGAGGAGAAGGGAAAGAAGTTAAAATATTGAGAAATACAGAAGCAGGTCAGTCTCTAATAGTAGGAGGTGAAAGTATTTCCACTCCTTGTAAAATGTTACCCAGAAGAGTGATAATCTGTGGAATAAATGGAGAGAGATTGTTTTCCCCTGTGTAAGCTAAGGCTAGAAAGTCCAATCAAGACTGGAGAAGTGATAGTGGGAGTGATTGGACGGGTGTCTATTCCAGGAATACAGTTTGTTCTTGTAAATGACCTGGCAGGATCAAAGGTGGGAGTGTTGCCCTTTGTAGTGGAGAAGCCAAAGGAAAACACTGAAAAATTAAAACAAAAATACCCTGAAATTTTTCAGGGCTATGTGGTGACAAGATCCCACAGCTATAGGTTAAAGCAAATGGAAGGACGAATGAGATGAGGTCCAGTTAGCTGACACTCTGTTTGATGAAATGTTAATGGAAGGACCTAAGCAGGTAGAGGAACAGGCAGAGGTGTTTAATTCTGAAAGATTAATGGAGTTACAACAAAAAGAGGAGACAATAAAGGATTTATATCATAAAGCCTGCTTGAAAAATGAATCAGAATGTATTCCAGAATGCTATTACCCTAAGGATAAGGTTCCAGGACTGGAACCAATGTCCTAGGGGCTGCTTTTGCTAACGCTGTTGGGGAGGATTTAAACTAATGTGGCAGGAGGATGGGAACCAAATGAGGAGGTTAGTGGACAGTAAGGAGGTAGTAACTAAAGCCTGTAAGGAACTAGATAATGAAGTCAGTGTGACTAAAGGGAAGAGTAGGCAGAGAGCAGATGATGAATGCAGAGGGACAGGTGGTCTGAGGTGCATTTGTTTTAATGCGAGAAGTGTAGTAGATAAGGCAGATGAACTTAGGGCTTGGATTAGTACCTGGGAGTATGATGTTATTGCTATTACTGAGACTTGGTTGAGGGAAGGGCAAGATTGGCAACTAAATATCCCAGGATATAGATGCATCAGGCAAGATAGAGAGGGAGGTAAAAGGGGTGGAGGAGTTGCATTAATGGTCAAGGAGGATATCATAGCTGTGCTGAAGGAGGGCACTATGGAGGACTCGAGCAATGAGGCAATATGGGCAGAGCTCAGAAATAGGAAGGGTGCAGTAACAATGTTGGGGCTGTACTACAGGCCTCCCAATGGCAAGAGTGAGATAGAGGCACAAGTATGTAGACAGATTATGGAAAGATGTAGGAGCAACAGGGTGGTGGTGATGGAAGACTTTAATTTTCCCAACATTCACTGGGATTCACTAGTGTTAGGGGTTTAGATGGAGCAGAATTTGTAAGGAGCATCTAGGAGGGTTTTATAGAGCAGTATGTAAATAGTCCAACTCGCGAAGGGGCCATACTGGACCTGGTGTTGGGGAATGAGCCCGGCCAGGTGGTTGAAGTTTCAGTAGGGGATTACTTTGGGAATAGTGATCACAATTCCGTAAGTTTTAGAATACTGATGGACAAAGATGAGAGTGGTCCTAAAGGAAGAGTGCTGAATTGGGGGAAGGCCAACTATTAGCAAAATTCGACAGGAGCTGGGGAATATGGATTGGGAGCAGCTGTTTGAGGGTAAATCCACATTTGATATGTGGGAGGCTTTTAAAGAGATGTTGATTAGAGTGCAAGACTGACATGTCCCTGTGAAAATGAGGGATAGAAAGGGCAAGATTAGGGAACAATGGATGACAGGTGAAATTGTGAGACTAGCAAAGAGGAAAAAGGAAGCATACATAAGGTCTAGGCGACTGAAAACAGCCGAAGCTTTAGAAGAATATCGGGAAAGCAGGACCAATCTGAAACAA